TAAAAAATACAACTTATTTAAAGTATTCTTTATATCCCAAATACAGAATACCTCGCTTAGTGCGGTTTCTATCAGTTTCACTATGGACAGGTTTGAAAATCTTTAGTTTTTTTATGCAGTGAAGTCTTTAGTATGTGGTTTTAAAGTCCGGTTTCAAACAGTACTAGATTCCGCACTAAACGAGGTATTGTTGTACTAATATCTTAGATTTAAAGTATTCTTTATATCCCAAATACAGAATACCTCGCTTACTGCGGTTTATATCAGTTTCACTATAGACAGGTTTGAAAATCTTTTGTTTTTTTTATGCAATGGAGTCTTTATTATGTGGTTTTAAAGTCCTTTATTAGTACGGTTTCAAACAGTACTAGATCCCGCACTAAGCGAGGTATTGCTGTACTAATATCTTAGATTTAAAATATTCTTTATATTCCAAATACAGAATACCCCGCTTAGTATGGTTTCTATCAGTTTTACTTTAGACAGGTTTGAAAATCTTTAGTTTTTTTTTATGCAGTGAAGTCTTTATTATGTGGTTTTAAAGTCCTTTATTAGTACGGTTTCAAATAGTACTAGATCCCGCACTAATTTTTATAAGATTAATTTATCAAAAAATCTAAGATATTAGTACAGCAATACCTCGCTTAGTGCGGGATCGCCAATGTCTAGTACTGTTTGAAACCGGACTAATAAAGGACTTTAAAACCACATAATAAAGACTTCACTGCATAAAAAAAACTAAAAATTTTCAAACCTGTCCATAGTGAAAATGATAGAAACCATACTAAGTGAGGTATTCTGTATTTGGAATATAAAGAATACTTTAAATCTAAGATATTAGTACAGCAATACCTCGCTTAGTGCGGGATCGCCAATGTCTAGTACTGTTTGAAACCGGACTAATAAAGGACTTTAAAACCACATAATAAAGACTTCACTGCATAAAAAAAAACTAAAGATTTTCAAACCTGTCTATAGTGAAACTGATAGAAACCGCACTAA